AGCCTCAGGGTTCTGCATCTACAAGCAATTCTGCTTGACTGTTGTCTCCTCTTCCCGCCTGCTCGGGTGACATCTCATCCTTAAGGTACTAGCTTAGGCCACAGCCTCTGCACAGCTGCTCTGGGAGTCCCAAATAAATCAGCCCCCTTTATATCTCATACACCATTTGCTTCAATTCCTGGCAGCTCCGTGTAGGGCCCGAACGGGACTGACAGGACTCAGACTCCGAGAGTGTGCAAACACAAACGCAGGTTTTGATTAAGTGATGCGTTCCACCATGCAGGGGTCAACCATTCTAGGAGACAGTGACCCCGAGACAGAGGCCTTTTAAAGGGAATGTACAGGCGTAATGAGCCAATCTCTATTCTGATGGGGGCGGGGAGAGTAAGGAGCAGTTACACAAGGGCATAAGTTGATTGGTCGGGGCCAGGTGCCTTTCGGCCACATGTGGTCGCACTTGAAGCTGATTGGCTCAGGTTTACCCGGGACCTTTCTCGGGCTTTCCCTGGAGCTAGGGGCTCCGTGGGCCGAGGTCATCTCTGTCTACGACAGAATCTAGAGACAAAAGGGAATCTCTCTGGCCCTCCCGATTTGATGTAACTTCACATCATCTGGCAAGCGATTTAAATTGTCAGATCACTGGGAGAGGCGCCTTCCGTGATCAGGTACCAGTATATAAACCCAGACCTAAGCTCAACGACACATAATGGTACATAATGGGAGCTCAGTAAATGATCGCATCAACTTGGGTACTCTCGTTTCTGGAAATCAGGCTCCGTCAGGCGCGGAACAATGATCGTGGTGTCCGCGAAGGAATGGGAAAGACGGGTAAAACAGGACTTGGAGCATGCGCTTGGGTTCTGAGCTGCTTGGAAGGCAACCAACGACGCAGCAGGCTCCTGCAGGGCCGAGGGCGGTGCCCAGGGGCCAACCAGTAGGCATACCAGCATGAGCCTTCCCGCCTTAGGCCGGTCTGTGCTCTCTCACCTGCTCTCTCCTTCACCGGTAAGGCAGAGACCATGACGTCACCCTGCTTAGACCCCGCAGCAAGGGACAAAGAAGTGAGTCTACATAAAGCACCGAGAGCCAGGCCTGGACCCCTGCGCGCTCTCAGTGATCTGAGCTGCGATTTTTCATCAGCCTTCATTCTGACGGAGAGACAGATCTTCAAGACCCCAGGCTTCTGCCAATCGCTCCTTCTCTCTGACTCTTAAAGTGCTCTCCTCTCTCCCTCTGATGGGGTACAGGAGAGTGAGCAGATCTTACTTTCTTTTTTAAAATCATCATCTCTCTAGGATCCTATTTCGTAGGGAATTATCACAACCTCATTTGCCAGTATTGCACTAACAGGAGAATCAGGGTAGGGGAGGGCTCTGCCTCCTACCTTAGAAGCGCTGGAAGTCATGGGTCTTGTCCCTAGCAGCTAGAGCTGAGGCTTGGGACCCGAGGTTTTTTTGTCTCCAGGTCCTAGGTTTTGGTAGATTGAGACATAGGTCTTAGAGCAAAAGGAGCCTTCCCTGAGCAGCTGTGGAAAACTGAAGTGACTATGGTCTGGAGGTCAGCGACGTCAGGTTGATGGTTAGTTACACACTAGTGATGTCCTGGGCCAACAGCTGGTTTTATTTTGTGCTGTGTCTTTCATTTTACCTGTATGTGGAGGCCCAGGAGAAATCAGTTAAAAATAAAATATAATAGGAATAAAGCAATCATCTAAAGCGAATGGCTTTATTGAATTCTGGCTTCCATGTTCACTGATTTGAAGAACATCACTTTTTAGTACATCCACAAGCTGTACCACTGTCCCTAAAATCAGTTATAAAACATCCTTGCCTCTAAAACCATCACCAGTTACTCCCTAGTCCCCTCCCCCTGCAGGTCTGCAGAACAGACCTCATGCCACATTATTCTACTTTTCAGCCCTCAGATGGAGAACTATTCTGTAACCAGAATTTAAATCTTCCTTTTCCGAAGGGAAGGTTCCCGCATAATAAGGCCTGTGTTAGCTATGTATAATGTATGGTCCCCAAATATAGCGACAGAAAAAGCGTTTTCTTCCTCACAGTTTGGGGTGTGGGCCAGGGATCCGGGAGCAGCTTAGCCCAGAGCTCTGCCTCAGGACCTGGCATGAAGCTGTTGGGTCAGAGTGGCGGCCATACTCCTGTCTGTGGTGGTATCCAGCAGCTGTGAACTGGGAGGCCGGAGGAGCGGGGAGGCTGGGGGAGCGGGCAGGCTGGATGAGCCCTCTGTCCCTTGCTGCATAGCCCCTCTAATGCGGCAGCTTATCCCATCATGTCTGACTCGTGAGAGAAATGTGCTTACAAATCTTCTGTCATGTAAACTCAGAGCTGACATTCCTTCACTTTTCTACGTTCCTTTGATCAGAAATAAAGCACTAAAGGGGACATAAAGGCCTTGAGTGGGTGGTGCACAGCTGGCCATCTTTGGGTCGTAACCAAATAGTCGCTTCCCTCTCAGCACAGCCTATAGAATGTTGGCACTGGAAACGCAGACCACCTTCAGCATGAAAAGGGAATGTGTTGACTGCGGCAGTTCAGAGGAGCGTTGAGGAGACGCACTGGCTGGAGAGAATCATCAGGCTTCTAGGCCTGCAGCCCAGAGCTCAGGGCAAGAAGTTCTGTGGCCCCCCAGGGAATCCCAGCGTCTTTGCGCCTCGCTTTTTATTCTCTGCTTAGGTTGGTGGTATGTGAGTACTAATAAAAGCCCAAAGTTGGGCTTTGACCTAGAAAAGAGACAGAGCTGATCCAGCTGCTTGGTCTAGTGGTCAGGAGGACTGGGGTTTCATGCTTAGCCAAACATGGGCTGCACGAAAGCCCCCAACAACCAACACTGCCCAGTGCTGGCTTGAACCGTGTTAGCACTGCACATGGACAGACAGGCTACGCCAACGACCCTTACATTTTTGGAGATTTGCCGAAGGACAAGCTGATGCCGCATTCTTCAGCAAGGGCCTCACTGAGAAACATGGATTACAGTGTTATCCACAACCCCCCACACACATACACAATGTCTTTCATAGAATCTTAGACTTACTTGTATTGCATCCAAAAGGTAGAGTCTTGGCTTACTGGCAAGTAGAGTCACATCGAATATTTCCGTTCTAGATTTTGCCTCCTACTTACCTGACAGTTGAAAAATTAATAGTAGAGACACAAAGGCCAAAGATGACAGGGAAAATAACGCTCTATTCCATGGGCTCATAGCCAAGGTTAAATTATCATAGCAAAGGACAGCAAAGCTCTTTATTTACTGTGCTTTTGTGACTCATGGCTGGATTGCAGTTTGTCTTTTGCTTTTAACCTCTCAACTAAAGAATGAATTGTCATGTTCATAAAAGCCACGTGTATTCAGGAACTCCTCCATCTCGGGGCTGAGGGTAAATATTGCTTTCTGAATTGTATAAATGGAGATGGAGACTAAGCTCAGCTGGCATTTAACTCTGTAAGATGTAACAATGTGTTCCTATTAAATATGCATATTGACACTGAAGTTACCGGAATTCTTCCAGAGAAGAGCTACGCAGATGTCCCCAGCTTGTTCTGGCCTGGGACTGTTAACAACCGTCCACAGCCCAGTGTGTTTGCTTTGTCAGCTCCTTACGAGGGGCCCTGCAGTGCGGAGTGTGTGGGCCGCCTTCCGACAGCCAGGCTTCTCTTCGCTGGATGTAAAAGTGAGAGGCTTCCTCACTTGGAAACAGCAAGGTATAGAGGGGTAAAGGTAAGGCTTAATGGATATTTCCTAGAAACAAACAATCGTGTTGTGGTCAGGAACTCAATTCTTGACTCAGAAAGATTTAGAGTCTACCATTATCAATGGTGCTAAGATGTCTGAACCTGTGCATTCAAACAAAGCTCACACCTGTAAGCTTGCTTGATACAGTCAATATAACCCAGGTGAAATACACAGCACCAATGGACACACTGTTTTAATGCCATTGGAGCTAGATGCAATAATTGTAGGGATCATCATTGTTGGGTTCCTACTGTGGACAGATAGCATCTCCCAGGCTTCCGAAGAAAAGGCAAGCCGCCACCACAATAGCCATCATCACCACCACTTGTACCATCATTACCACCATCACCATAATAACCATCACTGCCATCACCACTCTTACCACCACCTGTGCCTTCATCACCATCACCACCATCTCTAACTTCTCCACCACCATCACCATCGATACCACTTGCAGCAAAAGCAGCTATGGTGACATGGGATCTCTTAGCAAAGGCATGGAAACAGGTATGGGTTGGGCTTACACGTAGGATTTACCAGTTAACCTCTCAGGGATCCTGACCCTCAACTAAAAGACAAGGAGGGGTGGTAAGGCCTTTAAGCCCCACTCTCAGTTGGCTATGAAAACATCCCCCACCTGACATCTGCCATCTCTAGGTCTCCAGAAGGCAAATCTCACCATCCCTATGGTCAGGTTTATCTTCATTCATAGTGGTCCACACCATTGTTGTTAAGTCTGCCGTAATTTCCATCAAACCAAGACTCATGGAACCATGATATGGGCCTGCTGCTTACATAATGCTCTTCCTAGGACACTTCCAAGAGCCAATGAAGAGTTGGAGAGTGCCCTCACTCCCAGGAGTGTAGGCAGAAAGATAAACCAGAACACAAATGTGCACTCAAGTGTTGAGCCTTTGTGTGAAGATCTGAAGGACTGGCAAATAAAAGGCTTAGTTGGTGTTGGGGAGAAATGGTGTTGAAAGCCTCTGGAAGTTAGGCCAAAGTTTCCAGAAAGTTCTTTCTGCTTTTTCCCAGTTCTGGAAAGCTACCCACTGAAAACAAACAAACAAACAAACAAACAAACAAACAAACAAAAACTGCTTCTTTTCAAATTACAGATTCTTCCTGTTGCAGCATCTTCCATGGATGGATGCCATTTCCCACGAGTCCTCATTCAGGAGGGGAAAACAAAGGGTGGCTGAAAGGCGTGGTGACAGTGGTTGCCCTTTGCCCTTTCTTGTGTCTTGAAGACTACTTCTGCTTCCTCCTGACTCCTCCGGGCCTGAGGACTGGTGCCCATTGCCTGTGGAGCCACAGGTCCTACAAGGCCAAGCTACCCTCTCAGGATATTTCTGGCCGCTGCCAACTCCATGGTTTTCCTGATGGGAATGGAGGGCTGGTTCCTGGGGACCAGCTGCAATGTGAGAGGAGAGAAAAGATGGGCTGGTCCTTCTCTTCACTTGTCCATTGGTCAGCCTCAAACACTCTCAGACTACCCCAGACTTTTCTTTGTTTCTTTTTAATTTCCTAGAGCTTTAGATACAATAAAATGTGTCTCGGGGGATTTTGTGCCTCAAATCATGCTGCCAAGGAGGGAAGGAGACTTCTCCATCCAGAATCCATGTTATGAAGATATCTTGATGCCTCAGCATTAGTCCTCTATGTATTTTGCACTTGAGCGTCACAATACCCCACAAGGTAGCTGTTGCATGAACCCCATTTTACAGACAGGGAAACTGATGGGTTTGTTTCTTTATTTGTCTTGAGACAAAATCTTAAATAGCTCAGACTAGCCTCAAATTAGTTATATAGTTGAGGCTGGCTTTGTGTGTTTGATCCTCTCAAGTGCTGGGATTAGAGGTATATCCTGCCACAGGCGGTTTATGTGGTGTTGGAGGTGGTCTCATGGAGGCTAGGCAGGTAGTCCACAAACTATGTCCCATCCCCATCCCCTAAACCAGTGGTTCTCAACCTTCCTAATGCTGCGACTCTTTAATACAGTCCCTCATGTTGTGGTCACCCCTACAGCCATGCACTTTTTTTTTTTTCATAACTATAATTTTGCTACTCTTATGAATCATTACCTAAATATCTTTGGAGACAGAGATTTTGCCAAATGGGTCACAGCCCACAGGATAAGAGTCATGGCCCTAAACTGACACTTAATAAGGTTAAATAACCTAGTCCATGAACATAGGTAAAGTGTGTGGCATCCCAGACGGGTAAATGCAGGCACTCTCACACCGAGGCTATCATGCTTACAAAACCTAGCCCTCCAACCGCCCTGCAGAATCACAGTGGGAGGTCTGTTGGATGTGGAGACCAGGACACAGGCACTTAGCTTTGACAGATGCTAGCTGTGAATCACACATCCTCTCTACTTCATCCCAGCCTTCATTGCCAGAATTACTGCATAATCGCTGAAGGCTGCTCTGCACTGCGCTGTAGAAACTTACAGAGACCCCTAGACACCGTTCTCTTTGCACCACAATTGGGCTGTACCCTTCAGGTCAGTTCCAGTCCTGGACCCTCCCTGTCACCTTCCACACTTTCTGAGTTCCTGGAATTTTGGTTTGACCGTAGATTTCTGTCTTCCCAATTCCTCATCTGATCGAAGCTGCTTCAGTAGGAACAACTTGTTTTCAAAGTTTCTACCCATGGTTTGCATGCAGACGACTCTAGGCCTGTTTTTTTGTTTTGTTTTGTTTTGTTTTGTTTTTGTTTTTTGTTGTTGTTCTTTGTTTTTGTTTTGTTTTGTTTTTCATTCACTCAGAAGGGATGTTGATTTAAAATCCTGGAAACAAACAATCTAGGAGCCTCCCTGACACACCCCTGCAGTGGCCACCTCTGAAATGGGCCTCCCATCCCTCCAAAAATCTGACCCAAGTGTTTCTCTAACTGCCCTCATGGTGAAGAATTCACTCCCCTATTTTAGGCCTCTCTATGGTTGGATTGTTCAAAACAGCTCAGTCAGGAAACACTCTTGGTGTGAGGGGTCTAGGCTCCTAGTTCAAGCACAGCCGTGACTTAGTACCAGAGTTCCCAGAACACAGCGCTGAACACAGAGGAGCAGCCGGCAGCTTCTTGGCTGCATTTCTTTTGCTTGCTCTTTGCAGCGTGAACTCTGTGCTTTTTACTTTGAGTTCAACCACCGTCTTATTGCCGTGTCTCGCTTCATTTATTATAGATTATGAGCTCATTGGCTGAGGTCTGAGACGCCACTCAGGACTTACGATTTTCATTTATTTTGTTCAAGCAGTTTATTGTATTTAGCTTCCAATTACATATTCATGTAGTTATAAAACAGTCCGATTATCGGCATGTTCTTTTCAGGATAAATAACTTGTGCTTGAGAGCCTAAACTCAGTGAATTTATTTGTTTATAACTCACTATTAGAAAACCTGAGTTTCCATGACAAAATATCACAGAACAAAGGATTTGAAAAAAGTACATGGTAGAGGATGAACCCAGGCCTTAGAACAAATTCTTGGCTTTGCCTTCACTAGCTAAGGGCCTTTATAAAAATCTTTAGTTTTGTCTACAAAAGGAGCATAATTTATCAAACAGGGTCACTGGACTGCAAACCAGCCCACACCTGGTTGTGACAGCTGGTAACACACACCTGTTAACCTAGCACTTGGGAGGCTGAGGCAGGAGGATTTCAAGTTCAAGGCCAGTCTGGACTATATATTGTAAATAAAAATCAGTGTTGGGCTATATAATGCTATTATTTGTTGCCCTATAATTATTACGTGGTATTACTTAACCTGTTATCACAATCAAATAAGACACAGATACCTGTTAGATTTATAATTGCCTTATTTACCCTGGGCTGGGCAAATATTCTACCTACACTGTCTCAATAACCTCACTATCCATCTCCCAGCCCCATCCAATGCCATCCGCCTAACAGTTCCTATCTGGGCTACCTTCCATCCATAATCCCAAGATACTTGCTTATATTTTTCATCTTGGTGTTTTCTCTATCCATGCCATCCTTGGAGTCCTTCCTCCTGGCCCACATGGTTCCTTCTCCACCCTAACTCATCATGGTGCCCTCCTTCCTCCTCTCTTCCTGTCTTTGTGTTCTTCCCATGATTCTCCTTTTCCCAAAGCCCGGGAACCTTAACAAGCCTACCCAAATCTTCCCTGCCCGGGTTTTAGGCCTTTTATCAACCAATTAGGTGTAATGTCCTAGGCAGGTTTACACAACAAAGATAGGTTTATCCAGGCAGTAACCAGATCTTGAGGGCCAGTACTTAGCATCAAAATACAAGCATCAGACCAACCCCCAACAACCATGCTTTTAAAAGTGTTTTTGGTCTCTGTGTGTGGTAGCATACATCTTTGATCCCAGCATTCAGGAGGCAGAGGCAGATGGATCTCTGAGTTCCGGGACAGCCTAGCCTACAGAGTGAGTTCCAGGACAGCCAGGGCTACACAGAGAAACCCTGTCTCAAAAAAACAAAAAACAACGATAAAAAAATGCTTATAGTAGCATCCACTAAATATGATTCCAGGACAATGTATGGTGCCCCAGGACTCAGTTTAGACCATGCAACCCGTGAACAATCTGAGAGGGTAAAAAGAGAGTGGCATGGTCTGCCAGTAAGGATTGTCCCAAGCCCTGACTAATGCAGTCTGTGATTTGCTTTCCCTTTGCTCTCCTCCTGGACTCTTCCAAACACTTGCTCTTACTCTCTCTCTCTCTCTCTCTCTCTCTCTCTCTCTCTCTCTCACACACACACACACACACTCTATCATGTGTGTCCTTGTGTACATGCCAAAGTGCATATGTGGAGGTCAGGGGACAACTTGTGGGAGTCTACTTTCTTCTATCATGTGAGTCCAGAGATGAAGCTGAGGTTCCCAGACTTGGTGGCAAATGCCTTTACACATTGAGCCATCTCGACTATACCTTTTTAAAGTTAGTGCTTTCCTCCAAATCCACAATGTATTTATAACTGCTTCAAGTCTACTTCCTCTCTCTCTCTCTTTCTCTCACTCTCTGTGTGTGTGTGTGTGTGCGTGTGTGTGTGTGTACACGTGGGTGGCCACCAGAGGTCAAAATGTTGGGGTCTTCCTCAATGGCTCACCAAGCTATTTGTCACTAAACCTGGCTTATGGATTTGGCTAGGACAGCTGGCCATCATGCCCAAGGCATATCTCTAGATATAGGAATATCTCTGACTCTCCAGTACGTGGATTACAGGCTCGTGCCATTGCACAGCTTTTCTGTGGGTTCTGAGGATCTGAACTCAGGTCTTCATGCCTGCATGGGAAATATGTTACAGACTGTGTCCCTCACCCAGGCCTCAGGTCAATAGTGCAAAACATAATACTGCATTCCAGTTCCTCCCTCCTGCTCTTTGTGACGTTGATACCATTCATTCTACTTCTTCATAACCTAAAGTCACGTTTTACCTTGTTGCTGTTAGGTGGTAGGTCTGTTTAAAAAAAAAAAAAAAAAAAAGGATGGGAATTTTTATTTACTTTCCCTTGCTTGCTCTTTCTCTCAGCTATGATTTTTCTGATCTATTGGACTTTCCTTCTGTTTGAAAATCTTCTTTCACCATGCCTTGTAAGTCAGGCAGCAAATTTTCTCCATTTTTTTGTGAGAAAGAACTGTTTTACTTTTAAAGAATAATTTCAATCACAGGATTCCTAGGTTGGTGGACTATTATTTTCCTTTCAGCACTCTTAATATTTTGTTCACCTGTCACTTGCATGGTTTCTGAAGAGAAATCATGTGAGTCCCAGAGATCAAGCTGAAGTCACCAGACTTAGTGGCAGATACCTTTAGTAGTTTTTCATCACTCCTGTGAAATAGGCCAAGTATTCTCTTCATCTTCTCTTTTTTCAAGACTTTTCTCTTTTCTTTGGTTTCCTGCAGTTTGAATGCTCCTAAGTGTAGGTCTTTGCTGTGCACCCTGTCCTGTGTTCCCTGAGCTTTCTATACCGTCTTGATGTCTGAGCTCAGTTTTGAAGAATCCGTATTGTATCAGTCAATAGTTCAAATGTCTCATTAGTTCCTTTTTTTGTTTGTTTGTTGAAATAGAGTTTCTCTGTTTAGCCTTGGCTGTCCTGGACTTGCTTTGTAGACCAGGCTGGCCTGGAACCCACAGAGCTCCACCTGCCTCTGCCTCCCAAGTGCTGGGATTAAAGTCCTGTGCCAACACGGCCAAGTTATTAGTTCTCCTTCTGGCATTCCCACTAAACAGATTCTGCTCTTTGTAAATGTCCCACAGCCTAGACATCTTTTCTCTTTCTTTTCAGGCTAGAAAGTTTCTGTTAGCATAGTTTTGAACTCATGGATGCCCTCAGTCTTGCCAGGTCGCTGGACTGATGAGCTCACTCTTCATTTGCCACAGTCCTCTT